GGATCTGGGGGTCTCAACAATTCCCAGATCTGGGACTGAAAAATAAGCTGGCAAAAAAAAATTAAAAATTATGTTTTTAGCTGGATGAGTTCCCTGGTCTGCCCGCCTAAATAATGTTGTTGGCACAGCAGGGTGGGTAGTGATGGATGGGACCAAGCCACGGTGGGGGGGATTAGGAAGAGAGGGATCGTGACCAGTCACGGTGGCACGGCCACCAAGAAAGGTCCAGGGCACCGTGGCTCAACACCCACCGGGGGTTCTGATGGAGAACTGAGCTCTGAGAGAGAGAAAAGGATTTATCCTGCCACAGATGCTTGACTCAGGGGTTATCTGGTGTACAAATGCCCTTGGGGACGAGCCACCATGGCCTTGTAGCTTTTATTGTCACTTACGTTGCTGCAGATGGGGCACAGAGTGATGAGGGCTGACGTTTCCCGACAGCTCGGCTTCCCATTGTAAAAAGGCACTTCTGGTTTTCTAAAAGATGCAAATTTCCATCGGCACTTTTGATGGGAGAAACCAGCAGCAGATCATTTTGCCGTTCTCTCTAATGCCAGCAGGTTTTCTTCCGACAAAAACATTTTGTTCCAACTTCACTGTTTCACTTGGCTTTTTTTGATGTTTCTGCCTACATTAAAATCACAGTTTCTCATGCAGTGTCTACACATCCGCTTTTATATCCCACATCTGTTATACTTGATGTCTCATCTCCTAAAGGTTCGACACGATCATTACGCAACGTGCCAGCATCTCTGGTTTGCAATTTCATTCAGAAAGGAGCCATGAAAGATGGATTTTTTTTTTTTTTTTTTTTTTTTTTTGTTCCTGGCCTGATGGAAAATGTGAGTTTGGGCATGCTGGGATTTTCCCTGTGGCAGAAATCCTGCATCCCGCCAGCTCTGCTACAGAGCTTGTGCTGGCTCTGGTCTGTTATTTTGGTTTTGGGGTCTTTTTGTGGACTGTCTTTCTGCAGTGAGGTCTTTTGCACCCCAGGGAAGCTCTGCTGCAGAGCTTGTGCTGGCTCTGGTCTGGGGGGTTGTTATTTTGGTTTTGGGGTCTTTTTGTGGACTGTCTTTCTGCAGTGAGGTCTTTTGCACCCCAGGGAGATGGATCTGCAACATGAGCAGCACAGCTCCGTCAGGACAAGTTTCTCCCTTTAGGACAAATCTCCCTTTTTGTCTGCTCTCCCTGGTTTCTTCCCATCCCTCCACCATCCTCTTCCTCACCCCATCCCTTGCAACCCCCAGACCATCATCCCGGACAGGAGGATGAGCTGTGAGAGCTATGTAATCTCCTTCCCACTGTGTTCAAGTTCTCATCATCTGTGGGAACGGCTGGAGGAGACACAGCTGGGCACAGCTGGAGAGCAGCACTCTGAGACATCCCCAGCTCCTCTCCATTCACCCCTCAATTCTCTCCAGCAGCTTTGCCACGTCACTATTTTTATTTCATAGCAGGTTCTTTCTCCTTTTCCTCTAGAAAGCTTGAACGTTTTACATTCTTTTATTTTTTTAGCACTCCCCTCCCCAAACTTCACTCCCAGCCTGTCAAAGTGAAGCACTTTTGGTGTTTATTCCTTGGGAAGTCACCACAAGAAACCCTGGTGAAAAGGTTTGGGGTGAGAAATATTCAGCCTGATCATCCATGAGCACATCTTCACTGCTCCTGCTCCCTTAGCAAACAGGGACCGAAATGGTGCTGGGATGGATGGGTGGATGGATGGATGGATGGAAGGATGGATGGAAGGATGAACAACCTGATTCTTATTAACGTGTAAACTTTATTCTCAAATAAAAGAATAGATGCTTCAAATTCTGGCATGCAGAAAATAGTGTTTATTTGGACTCAACTTTTCGTTCTTGGCTTTGTGCTGCTCCAAGGGAGCTGGTCCCCAGCTGGGAATCATTTGTGGGGGTTGAGACATGGGACATTATAGACCTGAAGGCTTCGGATCTTTGAGCTGAGGACAAACTCTGCAGGAGTTTCCCCAGCACTTGGGCTTACACCGTCCGTTGTGGGAGGCCAGGTCCGAGGGGGATCCCTGATTTTTGCTATGAGGATGGGGGTCAGAGACATTAAACCTCTCCAGACACAATAGCTTATTTCTGATTTATCCTAAAGTGAGGAGGAAGAAAACCAGGCTATGAATACCCAGTGTCAACGCTCAGCTGGTGCTTGATAAAAACCTGCCAGAAAACCCATTATCCCGTACAATTTGCAGCTTAGTTCCTTCCCAAAAACAGGCCCAAAGCTCAATGAAATCCACAAAAGGCCCTTATTAACTGTACTATTCTTGAGTCAAGCTTTAATGAGCCAATCTGTCATGTCCTCCAGCACGCAGGCTGAATTCCCACTTGAAATTTTGTACTGCCACAGAAAAAGCTAAAAAGAAGACAAGAAACCTCTTGGCTTTAACAGAAAGATGTCCTGGCTGCTTTTTATCCCTGGACCAAGTTGGAACTTGTGGCCACGTGTGAAATATTTGTCAGCTAGAGGCATCTCCCTCCTCCTTTGAGCTGAAATTTCCAAGCAAGCCCTGGAGCATCCTTTTGCCACCAGGCAGATATTTCTGTGCTTCCCCCCCACAGTGCGCAGGAGTACAGTTTTGGCACCGCAGCCACGAGATGGCACTCCAGGATAGACATTTCCCTGGATGTCGACAGTCCCGACATGTGTTTCCCCCTCTCTAATTCACGCTTGGAAGCTTTTAGCTGGTTTCTTTCTTTATTGCATGTGTGAGCGTGGATGTGGGAAGGGATGCTTTGGCCACGGGGGATGCTTTGGCCACGGGGGATGCTCTCATGGAAGAAGCACGCACCAGGTTTAATGAGCCAATCTGTCATGTCCTCCAGCACGCAGGCTGAATTCCCACTTGAAATTTTGTACTGCCACAGAAAAAGCTAAAAAGAAGACAAGAAACCTCTTGGCTTTAACAGAAAGATGTCCTGGCTGCTTTTTATCCCTGGACCAAGTTAGAACTTGTGGCCATGTGTGAAATATTTGTCAGCTAGAAGCATCTTCCTCCTCCTTTGAGCTGAAATTTCCAAGCAAGCCCTGGAGCATCCTTTTGCCACCAGGCAGATATTTCTGTGCTTCCCCCCCACCGTGCGCAGGAGTACAGTTTTGGCACCGCAGCCACGAGATGGCACTCCAGGATAGACATTTCCCTGGATGTCGACAGTCCCGACATGTGTTTCCCCCTCTCTAATTCACGCTTGGAAGCTTTTAGCTGGTTTCTTTCTTTATTGCATGTGTGAGCGTGGATGTGGGAAGGGATGCTTTGGCCACGGGGGATGCTTTGGCCACGGGGCCCAGGCACATGGAAGAAGCCCGCCACAGGGCAGTGTTTGCAGGGGACTCTTGGCACCAGTATAGCCATGCCAGGAGGGTTTAGGGCTGTTGGTCCTGCCCGGGACAAGGACATGGATTCCCTCTGCTGTCCCACTCACCAGGAGCACAGCTACAGCGCTTGGATTCTCCTGTTGGGTCTTGTCCACCCTGGCAGAGGCTGGTCCATGGGTTGCTGATCCTCGGAGCCATGGTTCCCACTGCATCATTGTTCATAACAATGAGAAAATTCCTGCGGAATGGATGGAGCCGAGGTAAAGCCCCGTCTGCCCAAAACCCAGGCTTGGGTCCCTCTTGGGCACAAGGGATTCCCACCCGCTGGGGCTCAGTGACCCAGGGCTCTGTGAGCTTAGGGAGCTGGGAGGGGATAAATCACATTTCCACCATCCCACATCATATACTCCTTTCTAATCAGCTCAAAGAGAGGGCAACTTTTGCATGGCGAGAGGAGAGAAAAATTCATTTCCAACCCTATTTGCCTGGATCTCTCCTTCTGCATCCCTGTTCCCATTGGGTAAGCAATCTCCGGGGCCCATCGGTGATGGAACCTCATTTATCAATAAATAATGCAAATAGCCCCTTATCCCTCAGCACAGTAGGAATGAAGAAGCAGCAGGGACTCTTGGATCTCTCTCCCGGCCGCCTGCTGAGTGCTTTCACTGCACCTGCTTGGGAGAAAAGAGGCAGCCTCCATTTTTAATAGGATTTTATATGGATGGAGGTAATTTCCTTTTCAAAACCGGGAACTGCTACTTTAAAGGAATGAAACAAAATTAGAGAAGGAATCGTCCTGATCATTGCAAGGGAAAATGATCATAAAATAAATATATTAGGTTTTGGTGGGTTTTTTGCACAGTAGTAAAGACTGTAACTGAGGACAAGCTGGTGTTTGCAGGGTCTTGGTGACCATCTCATAGCAGAGGCTGGTTCATTATTGGGAAAGGGGCATTTAATTGAGATTCTTTATAGGGAAACAACTAAGTGTAACAGGATTGTTCTAAGCTATGGAAACGGAAATAAGACATCGCCTCTACACATGCGCAGCTGTGGATGTAAAAGCCTCACGATGGGAGGCACGCATTGGGTGAGAGCCATCTCCTGCCCTGCTCTCTTGGGTGGTCCAAGGGAAATCTCCAGCCAAGCCACATTCTCCTGGGGGAGTCACTGCCCTGAGATGTCTTTGGGCTATTGGACACCATGTAGAGGACACGGGAATAAACCTTGAGCCCAGGGACGGGGAGCTACTGGGTGAGCCATTGGTGGGACATGACTGTGGGTCTGCAGGGATCTGCTCTGAGATGGGCTGTGTCTGGGGTGGTGACTTCATCCTCCCTGGATGGAAATTTGGGGTTTCCAGAATTACTTACTTGATGTAACCCGAACAAAGAAGCCAGTTGTGACTTCCTAGGGACCTGCCCCTCAGCCCCTGCAGGCTATGAGCGCAGCTCCCAAAGGCCTTAGTCAAGACTGTGTTGACCAAATGCTCCTTAGCCACCACAAAGCAGCAAGTGTATGACAGCTCCTTCCTAATTCCTGCCATTTTATCACAAATAAATGTGCAGCCACCAATTCTGAACCCTTAACGCTTTATTCATGTGTGAGCTACGTCAAAAAAACATGGTTGTAATCTGGTTGCATGATGAAACCACAGCACTGCTGGCATCGTGGTGGATCTAAATAGCCTTGGCCAGTCCAACACGGTTGTTGGCCCGGTCAAAGATGCTGTAGTACACCCTGATGAAGACGTCTCCCAAGATCCAGAGGTCCCCAGAGGTGTTCTGGAAGCTGCTGATGCAAAGTCCTTGGTCGTTCTGCATTTGAGCAAGAAAAGGCAAATGGGGGAAATGTGGGCTAGTATCTTTTCTTGCATCGCTCTGGAGGCCCGTGGCCATCCATCCCCTGTCTCCCATGGGAATGGGAGAAGCCAAGGTGACCAGAGCCATTGGAGAAAGTAGAAGGACCTTGAGAGAGGCTCCTGAAACCAGGACCACCTGGTTCCCCCTTACCTGCTCAACGTAAGCAAAGGCGGGCACAGGATACTGAACTCCATCGATGACAAAGATGACATCAGGCATGGCAGAAACGGAGCTGCAGTTCACGTTGTACTGCAGAGAGCAGAGGAAAGAGGCTTTTAGGTGGGAAACATGTTCACAGGGTGAACAGTGAAGGGTTTTGATTTCACCGGTATGAACTAGAAACTAGGAGTATCTCATGGTGATCTCTACTGGAGGTATCAGAGGAGCAGGGCCGGTTTGCCGTGAGCAGAGATGAGGTTTCCCAGTGCGTGGAAGCAGGCTTGACGCTGGGCTTGGCAGTGCCAGGCTGCCTCCAGGGCAAGGAGAACAAGCCATGGGTGCTCTTACCTCTCCGTACGTGTCCTGCCTGGCCCCGACTGCACTCTGGATGTTACTAATGCTGGAGGGTGGCCCAGCCACGAGGGAAGTGCCGGTGTCGACGATGGCTTGGCAGCCACCACTGCATGCAATCTCCTGGCTGTTCACAATGATGCTGGGGGGACAGACAAAGCACAGGGCCATTAAATAACCAGCTGGATCTTAGTGATGTTTTCGAACTTCTTTTATAAGAGTTAAAGCTGGGTAACCCAAAGTGCTTCCCTTGAGCCTTTTGCTTCTTGGAGTTTGCAATGCCAGCTGGTATCACAGCCCCTGTTGCACACATGGGCACCGAAGCACTGAACACAACCCAGCAGGTGGGACCCAACCGAGCTCAACAAAGTAGCTTTTGGACCATAACTTTGCTCTACTCATCACCAGAGACGTCCCCAAGAGCACAGGCTTTGTGCAGAGAAGATCTAGGCTGTGTCCCAGGCACAAAGCATCCCCATTTTGGGTGGTAATTACCACAGTACTATGGATTTCGGCCCCTTAACCTTCTGCATCCCACAGCCCTGGGGTGTTAGATGCCAGTGGAAAGCCTCTGGTGTTGACGAGTCCAAGGTCTCTTTAGAAACAATGGTTAGAAATGAACATCGTAGACCAGCAGAGCTGTTTTGTTACCTGTCCATGGAGATCTGCCAGTAACCTTGGTAGGAGACAGAGATCCAGTTGATGGAGCCGGTGAAATAAGACTCATCGATTCCCCCGAAGATGACCACGCTCCCTGTTGTCTCACTGGACGATGCAGAAAAGAAAAAACAGTGGAGGGTTTGCCACATGGCTTCAGCGCAGGGCTGAAGGGCTGTGTGTCCCACGGGGTGAGATGCTGCTTGCGATGCCACGGTCGCACCCGCTCCCCTCCTCATTATAGAGCGTCAGCGAGGCAGTGGTACAACAGCAGTGTGTGCCAGGTCCTTTGGACCCAGAAAAAGGAAAAAAAGGGAGCGGTGGTGGAAACGTGGCTGGAAACTAGGGAAGTTTCCCTGCAAGCCATAAGCTCCCCAGTGAGTCTGGTGGCCACCTGCTGCGAGCCCCCCAGCTTTTGCATGTCGTGACACAGAGGCAACAGCCGGATGGCAGCAGTGACGGTGGAGGAGCTGGAGCCACCAACGAATGCAATGATCTGCGTGAGGTGCATCTTGAGACCCACATGGCTTACCAGGACAGATAGACCGAAAAGAGGTTCTCCTCCAGCAAGCTTTCATTCACCAAGTTATCAAACACCGGCATGATCCCATCAGCAGCCAGATTTGGGTAGCCCAAGCCCAGGATCCCATCAAATTTGACATGGACAAAGAATTGGCCGGGCTCGGCGGTGCTCAAGCCGAAGAGCTGGTTGGTGTCCACCAGAGATGCAACCTAGGGACAGGGAGGATGCCGTAAGATCTGGATCAGGCACTGCAATATTGACGTTAATCAGCTGGAGAAGGCACAAAGGACCCTCACTGGAAATGCCATCGTGACACTCACGGTGACGGTGTCGGAGCCCACGATGCCCTCCATGTCGCCAGTGCCGTATTGAATAGACAAGTTCTGCCCTGTGCTTTTGTAGGTGGACGACTGCGATGGGTTAAACATCTGATGGTTTTCTAGAAGGTAAGTGGGAAAATCAGAAACGAAGCCTTTCAGCAAGGCTGAGCCGTAAGGGAAGCGTGGGAGGAGGAACCCTGCTGAATTGCTGTTTAGACCTGCCATTTATTATCCTGCTTTCAGGAACAATTTAGCTGTGAGCATTTGTTGTATGTCCCTGCCCCTCCTCCAGCAACCAGGGATCCGCAGGAAATCCCATCAGCCCCTTCGGACAGATGGGGAAACTGAGGCACTGAGCACTAAGCAGATCACCCTGCCGAGTACAGCACTGAGTAGGTCCTACACCCCCAATACTCATCTCTCCAGTGCGTTTCACAGATGCTACGGACCCAGCACCGCGGGGTCTGCTCATTCCACTGGCTAGGTGGCCCCCGGTCCCCTGGCAATGTCACCCCAACCTTTGGGCTCAATTGTGCAGTTATAAGCCCAGGACGTGCTGCTGGACTCAGCTCTGCTGAAACGGGGAGCCCTGCCTGCCACTACTTACGGCAAGCCAGGCTGGTGCAGGAGATGGAGGGAACCCAGAGGTTGGAGGAGCCGGTGTCGAAGACCACGGTGAAGTCCTGTGGCGGGGTGCCGATGGAGATGGTCCCGTAGTACTCCATCTGCGGGGCAGCGGGACCAAAGGTTGCTTTTAAGGCATGAAACCCAACCTGGAGCTTCCCCAGGCTTTCAACCTGCATGGTCCCCTTCTTCATGGGGACACCCTGCTTCTAGCAGAGCAGCTGGAGGGACATTTCGGTGTCCTGGCTCGGTCCAGGGCCACCAGCATAGGCAGGAAGGAGCAAAGGATGCGAGCTGATGCCTTTGGGGTAAAATGGTTCGGGTTTGGTCCATGCGCAGCACAGACATGAGGATGCGTGTCCCACAAACCACCCCAGGGCTGCGCTGCTGGGGGACGAAGCCAACACTTACATCGAGGGTGTTCAGCAGGGTGTTCAGGAGGGGCTCGGTGGCCACTTCAGTCCCGTTGGGAAAAGCATGCGGGAATTTGGTGCCGATGTCGTAGCGGTGACGCTGGAAGAAGCGGTGCAGCAAGCCCTTCTCCCGGAGGACCTTTCTCAGCTTCTTCCCCCTTTCCAAGGGCAGCCTGGCACAAGCACCACGGGAAAAATAAGTTCGACAGGATTTTGCTGCCTGCAGCTCCTGCGAGCAGCGTTTGACACCTTCAATATTTGTGCTGATCCAACAGCAGAAGCACCGTGGACCCCCCCCAAAACACCGAGTCAGGGGGATTTCTGCAAAACCCCCAAGCA